CTCATATCTCGACAAAAAGCTGCAAAAACCAAGTTCTATACAAGATTTGATGACCCTCACGAATTCCATATTAATAGGTCCTCATATGACCCTAGCCCCTATGAAAAGTCACCATCAAAATTTCACAATAACGGCTTTCAACAATAAACGGCTTAAGTATGTATATCTGAGGCAAGGTACAATTCGATTTAAATGCTTTATTATGGCAAATAAATCACATTATATTTTGTCAATTGTGTAGGGTATTATATGGTCGGCCTCGCCCGACTATAATTTCTTACTTGTTTTTATATGTATTTATTCTATTTACAGATTTCTTAATTTATACATTTTTTTTATAATATACAAAAAATTCTTAAAACAAATATACCAAAAAGTGTTTTTATACATTTAAAAACTCGTTTCAAGAGCAAAAGAAATGTTTGTGAAAAGTTGAAAACGAGAAAAAATAAAATGTACTCAAAAAGGAAATGGCATAATTTTCAATGCAGAAAAGGAAATTTGCTGTTATTTTTAACAAAGAAAAGGCAACACATGTGAATATAGAGGAATGAGAGATAGAGATTTGTTTGTCTATATTTTCACTTCTTATAAACTCATTATACATATAAATATGGCGATTATGTTAACATTATTTAAGACAAATTAGTTGTATTCTATAACACAGTGCAACAAATCGCAAAAAACTTTAAAAACATTTTTTTAAGCGTTAAAAAATATTTTAAATCTTCCTAAATTAGGCGTATACGTAATATTTGTAAGATCAATCCACACGTATACGTACAGTTGTCGTTAATGAAAGCGGTGCAATGTAGTACTTTCCACTTGGAATAAAATACAAGTAAGAGTGCTACATACGTCTGTGCCGAATATATCTGTATACCTTACACCATAGTGTTAAATTTTAGAATTTTTTAATTATACCTTACATCACTTTAGTGGGGAGAGTATATTGGGTTTGTGCTTTAGTTTGTTTGTAACATACAAAAATATTCGTCCTATACCCACCTTAAAGTATACCAATCGGCTTAGAATCGTTTTCTGAGTCGATTAGGCTATGTCCGTCCGTCTGGCTGGCTGTTCATGTAAAGGTCGCAATTTTCAAGAGAATTGGATTGGAAAATGGTTAAAATCGGTCCATTATTTCCCCATACAACAGAACCCCCCTAAAAGGGCTTCTGAGCTCATAAAAATTAGAAAATTAATTTTTAATCTATAAATTCTTAAATGTATCGGAACAATGAATTATTATGAAAAATATTATGAAATCACATTTAATATTCATAACTGGTGTAGGGTGTCATATGGTCGGTCACGCCCAAAAATAATTCTATCTGATATGCTTTCGAGAAGTTTCCTATTTAGAAAAATACTGGAAATATGAGCCAAAATCGGAGACAACCTCTAAAAATTTCGTCAAAAAATGAGTTTTTTTTTTTTTTCATAAGGACGCATAAAAATAACAACGGCGTTCCGATTGTGTTTGTTTATACGTTGTGTTAGTTTGTTTATAACAAACAGTAAACCACTAGAAACAACAACATCAACGTCGAAATCGTGTACCGATATTGCCCATTTTCAATACCTAACGAACTGCTACTTTCAGCTGTCTGGCTACTTCCGTTTGGACTCTATCGTGTTTTCAACAGACAGACAGACAGACAGACAGACAGACAGACAGACAGACGGACGGACGGACGGACATGGCTAGATCGTCTTAGAATCTAATAATGACCCAGAATATATATACTTTTATGGGTCTTGGACGAATATTTCAATGTGTTACAAACGGAATGACAAAAACAATATACCCACCATCAAAAAAGATGGGATAAAAAATTGCACTCAATGTAATACTACAATTTCACTTTAAAACTTAAAAAAAGAACATAAAAATTACTTCCTTAGAATGACTTCTATGGAGTAAATTCTTGTAAAAACTAGACGGTTGCATATAAATCATATTACTAGATCACTTTAATGTAATATATTTAATATAAGTCGTCTCTGAAAAGTATGTTGTTTAATATGCACAAAGCATTACCTTTGTTTTTGCTTGGTTACTCGTCTTTTTCGCTCTCATGTTTTATTCATTTTTATAAAGGAATTCAAATTTGAATAAGTTGACTATGTACATAAATATTTATATTCTCTTTATTCTGTTCTTGTTGAGTCACAATTTAAAGGCTGCTCAACATCGTGACAGTGATTTGCATGCAACAACTTAAATTGTTGGAAACGACAAAAAAGAAAATGCATTGACATACATTATATATGTAACTATTACGCTGTAATAAATAATACTGTATTACATCCTATACCAACCACTATATTGGTAGAAATTCATATAATGTGTTTGTCTTGATGTTAGTTAGTTTTCATTTGTTTGTTGTTTGCAATAAATTTTGTAAGAATGAAAATGGTCATTCGCATATAGAGAAACCGGAAGTAAAAATTTTCCTGAAAATATTTAAGTTTCAAATGCCTGTGAATTAACACTACGAGCTAACTTTTTGAACCCTTTATAGAATTTGATCTATTGATTGTCTACTTTCATTTCCGTTTGTCTCATTGGGGAAAGATTCTATGACCCAAAAGTTGTTGTATAGTGGTATAGACGTTAAAGCTATTTTATAAAGTGGGCTTTAATTATATGTTTGTTTCAACAAAATTGTGCTAAATTTAATTGATTAGACTATAATATTAGCTATTGGAAAATTATTTGAAATTTTTAAATCATTCGTAACAGTATTCAAAACTAATACAATGCTCTATTGAAATACCAATAGAACATTTTCAAAAAAATTATTCTGTTGCAGTATGCAGCTGTTCGTGATTATGATAATGGAGATGTTAATGATAATGACAATGTTCTTGCTGCTTTTGATTTTAAAAGTTTGCTGTTACTGATATTTCTGTTTCTGATGGAAAATAGATGCAATAATCTTTATAATAATCCTCATGTTTTTGTGAATAACATAGCATCATCATTATTATCCTGGTGATAATGATGTCAGCAATTTGCAGCAAAAATAAATTTAGAATCTAAATGTGCTAAATGTAAATAGCAACAACAGAACCCTTAAACACAACCATTTCTAAAACTTTGAATCTAAAAACCTAAAGTAAGATTGTGTCGGCTGGTTATCATGTCTTTATATATGTAAATAAGAATTTTCCAAGTGTTTTTTTACTGCTTTATAATATCTATGCTTAAAACACACTTGCATCATATTCATGCGATATTCTTTTGTTAATGTAAAGACACGTTCAATGTTGACACATTAACTGCCTTTAAATTGTTTACAGCAACACACCAACCTCTAGAAACTTTAATATTCTGCCTCGAAGAATAACCACTGACAACTGAACAACCAGCAACAGAAACAGGCACATCGCTACCATCACTATCAATGACAGTAATAGACTTAGAACTACGACTACTGATACATGTAACAGCAAAGTTACGATATCACTTGCACTACTTGTGCAATTTATATAAACAACAACATCATCAGCAACAATAGCAACAAAAACTATATTAGCCCTGTAGACAACAACATAATAAACATCACTTTGCGTAAGTTGTATTTTATATGTGGCAATGGGTATGTAAATATTCCGAGGTGGCAGATTGTTATGTAAAAGTTGTAGTCGTATTAAATCTCTTATGCCTTCCAGCATATTTTTAGAGATCACATGACAGCATAGGCAAGTTGACATAATACAAGATTTCTTCTTATTGCAGATGTTGTCGCTTTTATTACTGTTAATGACTTTTTTCCTGCACTTCCACCTCCTGCCCCTTAATGACCACATATATTTAATATATAGGCTGCGTCAACAGCGACAACAATTGTCGCATCAAAAATGTTTTACTGCGTTTGTAATGAATACGGCTAGCTCCACCCTTTTGCATGGCAGCTGGATTTTTATCTGTAAGTAGCATTTAATAAAAAAAAAATGAAATTATTAACAAAGATATAAAAATTAAATAGTGAGTTTTTTTGTTTAAATGAAAATATATAGTAACTAGCATACCCTGGGTGCTTCGCTACCCTAACTTATATTAAATACATACAAAATTTTGTTTACTTTTATAGAAAATTAAAATTTATTAAACATTTTTTTAATGTTTCAGGTTTTGTACGTTCATTCGCACGTGATTATATTCGTATTCAGTAAGAAGCTTGTATTTTTAGTTTCATTCATTTAGCTTCCACATTATAAAAACTTTCATAAGTACTATTTGAAAAAAAGTACTATAAAATACCTTTAATAGATTATCATTTAATCAAAAATTTATGTTCTGTGTTCAATATTATATACAATTCAAAAAATAATTTTTAATGAACGAAAAAGTACCAAAAGTCCCTTTCAGTAGATTCTCACTCACTAAGGTCCCTACATTTTAAACATTATTTTTAATATGTTCAATATCGTAAAAATATCAAAAAGTACCATCGGAAAAACGAAAAATTACAAAAATCTCTCTCAATAAATTCTCATTTAATAACCATTTAACCATTACAGAGATTCTAAAAGGTACCATTTGAAGAATAGAAAAGTACCAAATAGTTCCCACCTACAGAATATTATTCAGTCAAGATCATGTATGTTAAAATTAATGTTCCTAGGTTGAATATTTCAGAAAATTAAAAAAGTACCATTTATGAGATAAAAAGTACCAAAAAGTTCTCTCTTAAAGAATCTTATTCAATGAGGACTGTGTATGTTTAATAATCATGGTTTTGAATTCATATTAAAGAACATACAAAGAGTATCATTTGAGGAAAGAACAAGTAAGAGTGTTATATTCGGCTGTGCCGAATCTTGTATACCCACCATCAAATCATTGCAAAACTTGATATAAGAATCGATGCTTTTGTTATTATCAAAACAATTTTCTCATTTATTACATCTATGTATAGGGAAATTTTTGTCGAATGTTGTCGCTGTCCTTGTATTTTTAAGGTAGCAAAAGCATTAAAGCATTTTCTGAGGGGACGTTTGGTAATTATGGACCGATCCTCGTCAAATTTTCTATAACGATTTTAGTTTAGGCTAGTAATGAGCGTTAAAGCCATTTTCCGAAGGGAACCGTATATGGAGGTAGGATAAATATGGACCGATCGTTATAAAATTTTACAAAGCGATTCTATAATAAGTTTATGTCGAATTTCATCGCTATAGATGCTTCTTTTAGACAATTATGAACCTTAAAGCCATTTTCTGAAGGGGACCTTATATGGGGGGTAGGGTCAATTATGGACCGATCTTATAAAATTTTACAATGATATTAAAGTTTCTATAAAATATGTTCGTGTCGAATTTCTATAGATGCTTATTTTAGACCATTCTGAGCGTCAAAGTTTTTCTGAAGGGGACCTTATATGGGGAGTAGGGTCAATTATGAACCGATCCATATACAATTTTACAAAGCGATTTAGGTTCCTATAAAATATGTTATCTCGAATTTCATCGCTATAGATGCTTCTTTTGGACAGTTATGACGTTAAAGTCATTTTCTGAAGGGGACTTATATGGGGGGTAGGGTCAATTATGGACCGATCCTTATAAAATTTTACAGTGATTAAGATTCTTAAAAATGTTTATGTCGAATTTCATCGCTATAGCTGCTTTTAGTCAGTTATGAGCGTTAATGTCATTTTCTGAGGGGGACCTTATATGGGGGATAGGGTCAATTATGGACCGATTCTTATAAAATTTTACAATGATATTAAGATTCCAAAAAATATGTTTAAGTCGAATTTGATCGCTATAGCTGCTTTTTTTAGTCAGTTATGAGCGTTAATGTCGTTTTCTGAGGGGGACCTTATATGGGGGATAGGGTCAATTATGGACCGATTCTTATAAAATTTTACAATAATATTAAAGTTCCAAAAAAATATGTTTAAGTCGATTTCATCGCTATAGCTGCTCTTTTAGTCAGTTATGAGCGTTAATGTCATTTTCTGAGGGGGACCTTATATGGGGGATAGGGTCAATTATGGACCGATCCTTATAAAATTTTACAGTGATATTAAGATTCTTATAAAAACATGTTTATGTCGAATTTCATCGCTATAGCTGCTTTTAGTCAGTTATGAGCGTTAATGTCATTTTCTAGGGGGACCTTATATGGGGGATAGGGTCAATTATCCTTATAAAATTTTACAATGATATTAAGGTTCCTAAAAAATATGTATATGTCGAATTTCATCGCTATGGCTGCTTTTTTAGTCAGTTATGAGCGTTAAAGTCATTTTCTGAGGGGGTCCTTATATGGGGGATAGGGTCAATTATGGACCGATCCTTATAAAATTTTACAATGATACTAAGATTCCTAAAAAATATGTTTATGTCGAATTTCATCGCTATAGCTGCTTCTTTTAGTCAGTTATGAGCGTTAATGTCATTTTCTGAGGGGGGCCTTATATGGGGGCTAGGCGAAATCGTGGACCGATATAGCCCATTTTCAATACCAAACAAACTGCATCAATATAAATAATATATATCGCTAGCTGCTTCCGTTTGGACTCTATCGTGTTTCAACAGACGGACAGACGGACAGACGGACGGACATGGCTAGATCGTCTTAGAATTTAATGAGGATCCAGAATATATATACTTTTGTGGGTCTTAGATGAATATTTCGATGTGTTACAAACGGACTGACAAAAACAATATACCCCCCCATCTTTTGATGGTGGGTATAAAAGTACCAAAAAGTGGGATTAAAATTTACCTAAGTGGAAAATACTATAAAGAATACAATTTTTCCCCTTTTTGCTTAGAAATATACTTTTTCGAGAATTAAGTTTACAAAATCTTCCGTATTTAAATCTATATATCACAGATAAAACTCAAGCGATTCAAATCGGCATTCATTTGTTCCAGCAAAATAGTGCTTTCAGAAAGTACCAAACAATTTACTCGAATTTGGTCCTATATAGGGCTTAGAAATGATATATCAACAGCTTATTTTGTGTGAGTAAATAAACTACTTTTTAAAATTTTATAAAAATTGGCTTAATGAGTTTGAATAAAATTAAATTTCCCGTTTTTTCCCTTTTTGGTACTTTTTTCCACAGTGAAATAACAAAAATTTTATTACAATAAATATTACAGATTTAGTCCGTAATTTAATAGGAATAATTCAATAAAAAAGTTTTCTTAATGTGCTAAAAAAAGTACCATAAATACAGTTTTCTCCCTTTTACACCTAAAAAGGACTGAATTTTAAAAAGTACGAAACAGGTGTCTCATAATTTTGGGAGATGTATCCAAAATATTTATAAAAATGTTATTATGTTAATTAGTTCAAAAGTTATAAGGGGCCGCAAAAGGTACCAAAATCACTTTTGTTACACATTTTTACGAATTTCAAAAAGTACCAGACACCCATCTGCTAATTTAAGAGTAGATATTGTGTAAGATAATTAAGAAAACCTGTTTTACCCGTTTTTCCTTTTTACCCGTAAATGTACAAATTTCCAAAAATCCCTCCTTAGTGGATCTACATAACCAAAAACACATCTACTGTCAAAATTTCATGATTCTAGGTTCAGCCGTTTGAGCTGTGCGATGATGAATCAGTCAGTCAGTAACGCTACTTCTTTTATATATATATATAGATAAGAAAAAGCGTTTTCATAAATATATTTTTATACCCTACACCACTATATACACACCCAAAAAATATTGGTCCTACACCCACCTTAAACTATACCAATCAGCTCAATATCACTTCCTGAGTCTATTAAGCTATGTTCGTCTGTCCGTCCATGCGTCCGTCTGTATGTGTGTCCATGTAAACCTTGCGAGCACTCTATATATATGTATGTATATTAGGGTGGTCTCAAATTGAAGTTGTTGATGTTCCCACCTAAAATGAAAATTTAGTTCATTCTAAGATACCAATTCTCAAAATATTTGTTCTCACGTAAATATTTGTTGAGCAGGATCAAAGAACAAAAAGGTCCTTTTTTAAGGTTTTTCTGATTTTTTCATATTTCTTGCAAATAAACCATATACGAATTTGGTATCATATGAAATGTCTTTAAGAGATGATTTCAATGACATAACACAATTTTGTATACGACTCGTCAATTATTACAAATGTTGTAATTTTCGGAAATTTTTTTGATTGTTAAAATTTTTACATAGAATTATTAAATGTTATTAATTGAAATTATTACATTATAAACCTCATATTATTTCACCGAAACGGTTTTTTCAGTTTTTCGGAATACAATATGTTTTTTATTTAAATAAAAATGTTAAACCCTTGTTAGCTATATTTACCTATCGTACCTAATATGTACATCCGTATACGAACATTTTTACATTTAACTAAAATATTAACACAATTTATTCTAAAAATCTTCGGTAAATTTTTGAATTTTATTAAATTCATCTGTGTTAAAATGTAGAAAATCTGAAAATTTTCCGAAAAATTTGCAAATTTCGATTACTTTTGCTGGCATTGAAAGCGTTTCTCAAGGACATTTCTTATGATACCAACAATTCATATCATTCCTTCGTCAATTGCATAGCAATTATTTCTCCTTTGATTTTGTCAATTATTGTTTTTCTTTCAATGGTCAAAACCAAAAGACACATCAAAGGCATACGTTTTAGAGCTATATTGGTGTCTGAAATCATTTACCTTTAAATCATTATCCTTTAATTGTCCTCAAATAACACCACTGCAGTGATTTTCTTTCATTGCGTCAATTGCATAGCAATTATTTCTCCTTTGATTGTCTCAATTATTGTTTTTCTTTTAATTTCAAAACCAAACGATGGCATACGTATTAAAGTTAAATTGCTGTCTTTAATTAGATCCTTAAATTTTATGTTTCATAGAATTCGATGCTTTTTAATTGTCTTATTTTATTGTCTGAGTTTTAAAGCAATTGTTACTCTTGTCA